ATCATGTGCTTTATTTATCTCGTCGATCTACATTATATTTTGGTGTTGAGACGACTGTCACTAGAAGTCGGAATTGTAAATTATAATGTTCGTAGCCAAGTCGTCGTAAAGTATGATGCCCTGTCTTATACCTGGCGAGTATTGCTACTGCTTTCTCCAATAACTAGAAAGCATTGAACCTGTGCTAATCAAACTAATGGTAATAACTTTCTACTCTTATTCTATTGAAAGAGAAAACTGAAACCACCGCAAAAAGGCATAGCTCGTCAGATGACATGTTAAGCGATGAGTATGTTATCAGTGAACATTCAGTGCAGAAAAAGATTACCGAAGAAACTGTCCCGTACGTTGTTCAAGTTGGAGAGCAAGAGGAAGATTTAGATTATGATTTGAAGTGTGGAAACGACGTATCAGAAGTGACAAATAATAGCAACGATATCCAAGTCAAAAATGAAGAATTTGGCAAACATGAAAACCAACCAGAAAGGTTCGTAAATGTCTGTCGAATGATATGATTATATTTATCCACTTCTGACACAAGCGGTTTCTTTTTTCTAGTGCCGTTATCACTCATCAGATTAGTGGTATGTCCCATTTCGCTAAGTCACATTACGTGTCAGAAAGCTGTAGAAATTTATGGATAAGTAACTTACCGAAATCGGTGAAGGCCGCAGACTTAAAGCAACATTTTAGCAAGGCAGGGAAGGTATGTTTTTTGTCAGTCAGGATAGTTTTTCAGGTAGTATCAGCTACTGTGGTTATGAGCACCCGCTCACCTGGAGGCTGCTTTGGATTTATACAGATGGCTTCTGCAGAAGAGGCAGCGTCTGCTGCCAGAGCTTATGATTTAACAGAGTTTGGAGGATGCATACTACGGGTTGAAGCGACAGAACGAAAAGCACCAATTCAATCAAACAAAGCAAACGATCGAGTACCTGGACTAAACAAATTAAAAACGTCTAGTGTTCCCGATTCTCGTCGTACCGTATCCAGACCACTGATATCTCGAAGTCGTTATATTGGTATGTCAGCATACTTTTGTCATTGTTCATATCATTAGCGAACAGACGGCGATTGTTGCGTCGTGCTGCCATAAAAAGTGCTATTTTGAGTGAACAACGAAGAAGGTCTGAATATTTGGCCGCTAGTAATCGTTTAAATTCCACTAAGAAAGCTCCAATCAAAAGACCTTTACGCCAGTTTACTAGACCGAATTACAGGATGTCAAAGGATAATTTGGTGAGTATGCCACAACATGATATTATTTTCGGAGCTATCGGTGTTGTAGTTGCATTTTGGACTTGTACTATTGTACTGTGCAGTATATAGCATGGAGTCATGGTTTGTTAATTATTAGGATGTCAGTTTCATGAAGTTGGCTATTGTGTGAATTCGCAACTAGATTTGCATTGGAAATGGAACCTTTCCAGAGCCATAACACGGAGGCGCTTTAATGGATAGTTCACCTGTCCTTGTGAAGAACGGAACATTGTCGCAGTAATAAAGTACATATACCAATTTAGTCCTCATATCGTCTTATGTAAGTGTGAGAGTTATATTGGGAAAACGACGTGATAGTCCTTGAATTTCCAGAAAGAATAACTGCACATTTACTGCAAGGATTTTGGGTTATTATTCAACCCTATATATAATGGAAGAAAATTCATCGATTTAAATCGAAACTTTGGAAAAGCACCGAAAACAACCATAAGAAGTTTCTAGTCAGTATTTCATGAAGGAGATTGCAAGAATATGAATTAAATATACTCACTCTAGTTTGCCATCTCAAAAACTTAGAATATTTGTGCGATTTGGTTAGTTTTAACTAATTACCTCATAGTTTAGGAGTTTTTTGATCTATGCTTTTTGTAGCGTTCCCGAGGAAGTTTGGCTCTTGTATCTAGACATAAAACTATTTCACAACGGCAAAGCTCTACGCGAATCAAGTAAGTGAATAAGTGATCTTGATATGTTGTGGTATTTTCAGTAACCATTGGTGCTAACACAGCTTAATGACTAAAATGAGATTGAAGATCGTAGCACTTGATTCATTTCGTGAACTTGAAACTTTGACCTCACAGTTTGACATTGGGAGCAATTATTCATGGTTAATCTTGACATCCTTAATTCTCTAGGGTTTTGAATTTTATTTGAAGAAGCCATTCAGATATTCTTGATTTCAAGTAGACTGTGCTGCTAATCCAATAAATAATGCGAGAATTTAGCCGCTGTTACTTGTACTTTTCGGTCGAAGGATCTTCTTATGTATCCTGCCACTGGATTTTCAGACTTCAAATTTTTCAAAAAATAGCTTATAGCCTAAGAAGCTACACGCATTCAGTGTTACAGCATACTTAGGGGCTATTTTTAGAAAACATGAGCCTGCTGTTCACACTATCGTTTCGTTGAAAGAGCCACAACTACCAAAACAAAAATGACACGTAACCCTCATCAATAATCGCTTCCCTTCTCCACCAGTAATTCACAGTAAATAACATTTGTTGGAGTAGTACCCAGATGGATTTTCGATTTGTATACCTCATAACTATTCAATTGGCTGGGTCAAGAAATGTACTTGATGTAAAACAGGTGATAATAACTTTACCCTTAAACTAGGGACCGAAAATCTCGATCAAATCTTATTCTTACTCAGTTTCTCCGAACTCGCTGAACAAATAATGTTCCTCCATATCACTTCCAGATGTTACAGAAAAGTTTTGGTTCATTTCATATACTAGTTACTCCTTCACCCATATGAATTAGGAATAATTGTGAACCAATTTTTTTCTTCTGTGGTTTCAACTTATGTACTTAATGATAATCCTCAAGTTAGAAATGTGAACGGTTGACACTTCCCAGTTCTTCATACTGCATAAGGTTTTCTGCTCTCGAACCTGTTTTGCTTACTGTTGTTGTCATTGTAAAATAGGGTTGTAGCTAGAAAGCTCAAGAGATAACTGCTCAAGACCAGTTACGTCGCATTATGAGGCGACTACTGCTGTTATTTTCGTTCAGGGCTTTTGAGGAGGTGCTTCAAAAACTTGATATCTGCCATGGATTCATGTTAAAATCTTGCAATCGGCCCCGAAAGTCCGTGTAGAAAGAGCGAGGTATTCTGATTTTAATGCTTGCCTTTATTACCATCTTCAGTGAAATGACATCATCATAAGAGGTAATGGTTTTCCTTGTGAAACAGCATAACCACCATTCCCCAGTACATATAGTGTTATAATTTCTCACTTCAACCTGAAATCAGCATCTTTGGTTTTACAGCTCTCCAACCGACCTACCTGGTTTAGTGGAAAATCAGGGAACAGGCGTCTCAGTTCTTATGTTTCGGTTAGATCGTCATGTTAACCTCTACAGTCAGGTTTCAATAACGAACGTGTCTAAACGTTTCTTTTTTTGTTACCTGAATAAAGATCAGTTTAACTTTTGTCTTAACCACAATTTAAAACTCATTGTTGATATACATGGCGTCCTATTTATTCTTGCACAACTTCTTATGGCAGTATATTTTTGTCGTTTTGTCATTAATTTAAAAATGGTAAATGTGTTTGGTTATTTTTAATGATAATACTTGACTGTCTGTTTACATTGGTTCGGTAAGCATGCAGTTCTAGAATTTTAGCTCTACTTAAACATTTCAGCACCAATCAAGGGATACAATCGCTGTCACAAAGACAACTAAATTATGCCATCAGCCGAAGGTTGCGTGAAGAAATTCCTATTCACAAAAGTGCTAGTATTTCGCATCGGTCTTCTAAATCGTTTTTGCCTAGAGTGCGCAGAAATTCAAATTTACATCTAGAAGACCATCGAAGCTATCTTTCTTCACCCTCTTGTTTGACTTCCTTGAATACAATGACACCGAAGAAAACCCCGACATTTCGCAGTAATCGTTCTGTAGAAAGGGATTTACGTGAACTTTATCGCCCTGTTTTGTCAGAACGAAAGCGCTATCCTCAGTCATCACCTGGTCGATCCAACGCATCAAGTCGATACACACGAAACACTCAATCATCAGTCTACACAGAGAGAAACACTGTTAAACCGGTATATGATAGTCGTTCTCGTCAAAGTCATTTGGTGACCCGTTCTGAACCACGGTAGGTCACATCTTTAAATTTATTTTCATAAATATTCCTCAAATTCCGATTGTCACTTCTGGTCTGACGTCTACTTATACCATGCAATCCCTAAAACATAAGATCTAGCATATTGATTAGCGAAACGAAATATGTAGGTTATGCTCATAAAACTTGGGTTCTCATGTCGAAGTTACATTTGACCTCATAGTTTAAGGCTACACGTCGGTTGCATTTGGTATACACGCAAGAAATTTTATCTTTTAAAGGGTCTCTGTGATATGTAACCTAAGTTAATGAATATTTTGGGTCCCGGTTTTTTCCAGCTAATTGCGTTCATCGTTATTTTGACATTCAGCAAAAATTGATAGAGTTCAAGTTATCCGTTATGTATGTGAAATTAATTATTTTGAATTTGACTCAAAATTTTTTCTATTTTCTGAGTTAATGATCTGAATGCAATAATGTTTTAAGCAACAAAATTATTATTATGTTGGGGATAGTGAAAAGAATAACTGTAACTTATTCACCCAAAGTAATCGTATTATGTCAAAGTTAAAATTAAATAATCAGTTAGCGGGTTGGTGTACTTGATATTTGAATTTCACACTTGAAATTCCACGATTTATACTTTATAGTTTTCATATAACTGTTGTAGTTTGAAGATCAAAAGACATGTGGGAGAAAATAGTCAGTAATCTGTTTGTTTTGCAGACTGAAGAAGATATTTGGTACATATTTTGTCACTTAACTGTTTTCTCTAATTATGATATATTCCATTTGATTTGAACTGCTTCATCAATAACACTATTTCATATTACTATAATTAACCCATTGACGATAACGGTGATGAACGAAGTGTAACTGACCGGTTAACTTTGTATATCATACTTAGGTCACAAATAAATTAATTAACTAGGGTGAATATGCGATAGTACAGAATGAGCGTAAACTCTGAAATGACTTGTCTGTTAAAAATGAGAATGAATCCACATACACGTTAAAGTGGTTGCTATACTAATATTTTGCAGCTGCAACTTCAGTACAGTGAGAAAAACTGCTTCTATTCCATCCGGTGTCCCACTAACTAGAGTAAGAAGTTCGATTTGGTAATAGAAGCTTTATCGACTATGAATCCGGAAGAATTAAAAATATATTCAAGCCAATTATTTGTTTATTGATTACGGTGATCAGAGTTTATGAACTGAGTGATTGTTGCTGAACACAGAAAGTAGTGAGAATGGATTGAAATTTCCTAATGTGGTAAAAATATGCTGAAAGTTAAGCCTACCTATATTGAACACACGTTTAAACCTGTCTCTCTTTGAGTGTGTGCCACCGACCAGGAATTTGTAATGGACTCTGTTGTGGGTTCGTTTCCAGTTGTCACTGCATTATCCTGTTTGCTTAAATTTGCTTGCAGGTAGTACACGTGACATACATTAAATTGATGAGATGGAACATTCTTGATGCGCTACTCTGAATGGAGTAATTGCATAAAGGCATGATCCTACATTGATTGTAAGTTGAACTTCATTTGGTCTTGGTGTGGACATGACGAAGAGCGGAGTAAGGTTAAGCGCAAGCTGATAAAAAGTCAACGCAATGATCACGAACAGTGGTAGGTAGTGAAAGCGAGAGAGATGGAAAAGGTAGCGGCGATAGGTAACAGTGGACAACTGTTCAGAATTATCAAGGAGAGCGGAATTAAGGATCCGACTGTAAGTGAGACTATCTGGGAAAAGGATGGAGATTGGATAGATGGGCAGAACACAAGGGAACGGTTCACTCGGCCTTCAGGCACTCTTCGGTTACCCACGATCTGCAGTCAACGTGAATGTCGAATGGGTGTAAGTCCTCCAATTCTGAATGAAGTTGAGAATGCTATAGGAAATGTGAAAGGAGGTAGAACAGCGGGTCTTGATGGATTGACCGCTGAGATTTTCGAGGATGGTGGTCGAGTTTTAGGAGTTATATTGACAGTGATCTTGAGTCGAATTCGGGAGCTGTACGTAATCCTTTCTGACTGATTTCATTCACTGTCCCAGTTTATATGAAAGGACAAAAGTTCTCTTGTGACAATCACAGACGAATCAGTCTAGCTAATAGTGTCTAAAGTGTTAGCCTCGATAATGCTCCGACGCCTAACTGGATCTCGTGAAGAGCAGCCTCGAGCAAACCAGGCTGATTTCCGACATGGACGTGGATGTATGGACCACATATTGACTCTCCGAAAATAGTAGCATTCCTGACCTCAAAGCGGTATTTGACGCTGTCTATCCTGAAGGTTTAGTGGCAGTGTCTGTTATTGAAAAGAGTACCAAAGAAGTGCATTAACCTTATAGAAGCTCTCAACTCGGACACTACTGGCCGAGTCAGAGCTTATTGCGAACTGTCATCGGAACTGACTAGTTCATGTGGTGTTCGTCAAGGTTGTCCACTCTCTCCATTCTTATTCAACTTTGTCATAGACATTGTTTTAGAGACAACACTGTCTTCGTCTGAATTTTCAGGAGTTGAACTTTTACCGGCAGATTCACTTGTTGACTTTGAGTTTGCTGATGACATAGTTATATTCGATGAAGACGCTGACAAAATGCAGTCCTCTGACTATCCTGAGCAACACTGCAAGCATGTTCGGAATGCGATTCTCCCACTCGAAATGCCAAATGTTGCTTCAGGATTGGCTTGTGTCATCACCTGAACCAGGCGAGAGCAGTACATCTCAAAAATGCATGAGGCCATTGACAAGTTGACTGAGCTGTGTTGGTAGGTGTCGATCGGCCTTCAGCCACATTTCGGTTACTCACAATCTGCAGTTAAACCTGAATGGCGACTTGATGTACGTCCTCCAACCCTGGATGAAGTTTAGAATGCTAAACACGAAGTAGTGAGAATGGATTGAAATTTCCTAATGTGGTAAAAATATGCTGAAAGTTAAGCCTACCTACATTGAACACACGTTTAAACCTGTCTCTCTTTGAGTGTGTGCCACCGACCAGGAATTTGTAATGGACTCTGTTGTGGGTTCGTTTCCAGTTGTCACTGCATTATCCTGTTTGCTTAAATTTGCTTGCAGGTAGTACACGTGAGATACATTAACTTGATGAGATGGAACATTCTTGATGCGCTACTCTGAATGGAGTAATTGCATAAAGGCATGATCCTACATTGATTGTAAGTTGAACTTCATTTGGTCTTGGTGTGGACATGACGAAGAGCGGAGCTATAGGAAATGTGAAAGGCGGTAGAACAGCGTGTCGTGATAGATGGACAGCTGAGATTTTTGAGGATGGTGGTCGAGTTTTTGCATTTTATAATGACGTAGCCACACTTCTTTTGAAGTTGTAAATTGTTTCCAGACGGCTTTACTTATTCCCAGCATAGCATGGTCATTGCTTCTCTTCGCTGCTATTATTGAAATAACTCTTCTGATCTCTTTCATTTTGCGAATATTCCGTGTACCTGTGTCAATTGTTGCTCTGGCTGTTATTAAATAATTGACTTCGTGACGACTGAAGAATCTTATCGTTCACCTTAATTGGCCAAAATTGTTCTTTGCGAAGACCCTTTATTTGTCAAAGCAATACTAAATTTCAAAAATTTAGAATTATCCAAGAATGTATATGAAATGTTCTAACGGTATGTTTAGGGCAGTTGTGTTTACTTTGCTAACTGAGAATACTGTCAGTGAACGTAAAACTGAAAGCCCGACCGTAGCTGCTACCTTGACGTGGTGGTCGGGCTTGCCTATCGTGATGACCCAACCGAGCTATACTTGCTGGAACATATGTTCCTCAAGGTTCTACCATGCCAGGCAGGTCGATTGGAGAACGATGAGACTAAAAGCAGCTACCCAACGTCTGAGGGCGAAGTCGTACTGCTGACTGCAGAGGGATGTGACAGCAGTAAGGTGTTTCCCTCGGACAACCAGCATCTGCAGCGATGCTGCCTTCTCACAAGGAAGGAAGGGTTAGAAAAGGTCGGCCCTAAAAATGTCACACCTCCCCTACCTCACGGATTTCCGTCTCCTTGGGTAAGGGTGCCCACTAAGGGCCTTTAAGAACGGAGCTAATCCTCAAAAAACGTTTCATAAAAAGGCCGTGCGTGACCGGCCTCAAGCAGTTGTCCCTTGGGCTCTGCGGTCACGCACCAATACTAATCCATCTTCCTTTTCAGGTTCGTCAAGAAACAACCTTCCACGGTGTGGGCAGCCGGGAAGTGACAACCGCCCTCATACCCGTAACAGCACACGAGACCAAATTGTTCAAAATCAAATCCTTCCTAAATTCCCTAACACCTCTCTTATCTCCACAACTAACTCTTCTCACTTTCATTTATTAAAGTGCACAGCTAATGCAGACGATACGAGTTCGCGAAACGTCGTTCCTGGTCTCCTTAAACCTCGCTTTAGACTACATGTTGGAGCATTTATTGTACGGACATTGTGTCGAATAGGGCAACAGGCTTCCTTAGCTAGGACTTTAGAATCTCGTGCCATCGATGTATGCTGCGTCTCGGAAACGCGCATACAGGATCCGAGTCACGTCATACACTTGGCCACACCATGTCAAAATAAAGAAGCAGCTCGATTTACTCTTCGTGTATCCGGTAGCCCTGATGCTGCTTCCAGGGGTCTTGCTGGCGTAGGCATAGCATTGAGTCGTAGGGCAGAACAATCTCTCGTTGACTGGATCCCTATAGATAGTCGATTGTGCGCTGTCCGACTAAACGGGACAGTAAGGACTCGGAAAGATAGGGACAATCGCCGTTGCCTCTTCATCGTATCTGCCTATGCCCCCACTGAATGCAGTTCAGACGAGGTTAAGGATGAGTTTTACAGAAAGCTTTCGGACCTCCTCCAAAAAGCTAGGCGTTCTGATATAGTAATAATGGCTGGTGACTTTAATGCTCAAGTAGGTAGACTAAGTGAGCAGGAGAGACACCTAGGTGGATGTTATGGTGTCGCGGCTCAGAGAACAGACAATGGTGACCGTCTGTTGCAAGCATGCTCAGACAACCGCCTATTCTTAGCAAACACTAACTTTAGGCATAAGGAAAAGCATCTGTTGACCTGGCGACCTCCAAAGTCGTCTCAACGTTGGACTCAACTAGATCACATCGCCATCAGCCACCGATGGAGGGGTTCGATAGAGGACTGTCGCTCGTTCTGGAGCACATGTTTGGATTCAGATCATGCCCTAGTGCGAGCGCGTTTTTGTTTGAAGCTTACTGGGCGTAGGAAAGACACCGTAAGGAAGCCTCTTAGGGCTTTACTTAATGATAATCAAGCTAAGAAAATATTTCAAGAGGAACTAGAAAAACAGTTAGGCGACCATTTAAGCGATTCCCATCCGGAAGCAGGTTGGAATGATATCAAAAAGGCTGTGGAAACAGCAGTGATATCTGCTAGTAAGGTTGACCATAAGGCTAGAATGA